AGTACCGAGCATGTACCTAGCGGTACTGAGCAGTACCGAGCATGTACCTAGCAGTACCGAGCAAATACCTAGCTGTACCGAGCATATACTGAGTGGTACCGAGCATGTACCTAGCAGTACCGAGCAAATACCTAGCTGTACCGAGCATATACTGAGCGGTACCGAGCATGTACCTAGCAGTACCGAGCAAATACCTAGCTGTACCGAGCATATACTAAGCGGTACCAAGCATGTACCTAGCAGTACCGAGCAAATACCTAGCTATACCGAGCATATACTGAGCGGTACCGAGCATATACTGAGTGGTACCGAGCATGTACTGAGCGGTTTTGAGCATATATTTGAGGCGTATGCCTCAGCCAGAATTGCGCAATTGCGCCTCTGAGGCGCGCCTCAATCCAAGTGAGGCGTACGCCTCTGCCAGGAGAGGAATTGCATAAGCCTTGAGGCGGTTTTGGGTCAAATTGCGCAGAGGCGCGCCTCTTATTGCGCAATTTTAAACAGAGGTATAGAATTTAAGCAAAATCTAAACTCTTACGTTACCAATAACAAGAATAGAATGACAATAAGTAAATGCAAGAGATTACCCAAGTGAAAAAAAAGCCTTCATGTTAGTGCAAGTATGACTTTTCCTTAAGTTAGGTAGTCAAACTGATACTCTAGGGAATCATACAGTCAACAAGCACATACAAGATTGAAAATTAGAATCTGAAATTTGGTTAAACAAAAAATAATAATTTATAGTCTCCAAGTCTCTCAACGAGTCTATACATTTGCCACAAAATCAACTTAATTCTAGTTTAAATCTTGATTATCAAGATATTCCTAAAGCCTGTGCTTTCCAATTCAAAATCATTATCCTGAAATCCTCTACCAAAAGCTAGCCATCATGTGCTACCAAAGCCAGCACAATGGACTAAGAAAATTTGAAATAAAACAAACCCATACCCGTGAAGTCTGCTAAACCTCATTTTAGTGTTAAAATAATCTCAAGCCTAACATATGATGATGTGATTCAAACATGGAACTCGAATTAAGTGAACCTGTTTATTAAATTCAATGGCATGATGAAACTGAAGCCTAACATAAGATAACTTGAACCTAGCACACGTTGTAGCTCATCTCCAATTGTTGAATGATCTGCAAAAATGGATCTCAAATCCCAAGAAATAATTCCAGCCTAGAGGCCAAAATTGGATGCAATTGGAAAACCTGAACACCCAAAAGGATTGTGATGGATTCAAAATGAAATATCAGTAATCTTAACCTCACTTGCAGTATATAACTTGATCTTCTAAGGACATGAATTTTAAACCAAACCCTGAATACTAACTTAGTTATAGAGGATCAATTCAGTAATGAACACATGAACACATCCTGTTATCATAGGCATTATCACAGACTTGTTTAAGCAGATACTAAAGTAAATCATGAGCTAGGAAATAGAAAATTACGAAATAGGAAAATGTAATGACCAATTTTGTTAATCTACTTGTTTAAACTCCCGTTTCCAGATTGTATAGGCTTAGATCTTCATCACTTAAGACTTCTGAATCCCTCATATTTGTGTTAGATCAATTGTTTACAGCGGAACATTAAACCAAGGAGAAATGCTGAATAAAAAAAATTTAGTTTTCTCTACTTTGCTTTAGAATGTAGCATATGGGAGTTGGATTTGCTCGAACATTTTAGACTTCTGAATCCTTAAACATTTGTATTAAATCAATTTTAGCATTTGAATTCTTAATTTGGAAAGGTTCTCTTCAGATATGAAGACTTTTTTGGGAAGAAAAGAGACAAGGCCAAGAATACTAAGGGTGGTATAAAAAGGGTGGGTCCAGATGGATCCAAGGAGTTATTTTCAGATGAAGATGAAGGTGAAGATGAAGATGATGGAATGGATATTGATGCGAAGGTCATAATTTTATTTTGATATACAATAAATAAAGAATATGTATTGCAGACTCACATGCACGCATATCTTTACAGAATGGTGGAGCTTTATCCACTTATGAAAAAGAACTGTTGAAGTTACGCTCTAAAATACAAGAAATGGAGAAAGCTAACTTGGAACCCAAGACATGGACCATGCAAGGAGAGGTTGTTTGCCCGTTACCCTTTCCCCTCCTCCCCATGCATTTTGTAAATTGTGGGATTTTACTAAATTTAGTGATGTGAGTTTAAAGTTAATCAGCATGTCATTTACATTAATTCCTTTTTGAATTCATGGTTTTAAGCTAGTGTTATATTATTATCTTTTGGTTTGTAATAGGTTACTGCAGCTAAAAGGCCTAAGAACAGTGCTCTTGAAGTGGACCTTGATTTTGAGCATAATGTAAGACCACCTCCAGTGATTACAGAAGAAGTAACAGCTTCAATTGAAGACCTAATAAAGAAAAGGATTATTGAGGTGCTCTCATGAATCCATATGAAAGACATTTTTCCAATTTTTTTTATTGCCTGAACTTGGAACCAATTTATACTCTGATACTTTCATTAAGGCATGATGTGTGCTTATACTATAATATAGTCACACATTTTTAATATCCAGTTTGCATTTTATGTTGAAGTAGAGGAGGGAAGGTAGAATCTGGAAAAGGAAGATGAAAGAAATCAGTGGGTGCTTGTTAGAAATTTAGCTGTTCTTTTATAGTTAAAATTAAATTTATGCATTGTGCATGCTTTAAGTGAGAAAAATATAGGATAAATAACTGGAAGAACCCTAGTTGAAAGGAGATCAATCCAAATAAAAAAGGGTTGTTTTTTAACTTTCTCATATCTGTGGAAGACTAACCAAGTTTTTGAAAACACTCATGTGCTGCAGCATGTCTTGAGTGTATTATATTGACGTCAACACTATCTAGCGTAGAGATATGGAACAATGGATGATACATTTTTCTTTAGGTGCCTGACATATTATGATAAATTCTGGGATGGAGAGCACTAATTGGAGGATTAAATGATTATCTTCTAGGATCACATCATTTGTGGTCTTTGTTCCAAAGTCCGAACTCAGAGAAAGAATAGATAGATAGGTTCTGATATTAAAATTTTTACCCATTTCCTACATTAATGGAACACTATGTAGTGCTGTTTTACAAGAAATTTGTTTGAGCATGATGTAATGGTCAAGGGGAATCTACTTCTATACCACCTATTGACATGAATCTTTTGTTAGGTTCTTTTCACAAATCTCTAGTATTAGGCAGTTTGTTAGCAGCAAAAAATAACCATATTCATTTTTGCTTGTTGGTCTTTCCGTTTTCTTTACTAACTGAATAGTAAGGTACAGTAAATTATTGTTTTTAAAGAAATCTTTTCAAATGCAACAAGGCATATTTTGTGGTCCAAGGGCAAAATAGACCCCCTTTTTGATTGTCCCTAGACTTTTGTTCTTGTCACAATGTCCCTGTTTTCATAAAAAAGTCTCCAAAATTGTGAGCACCAAATTTTCGTTGTGCATGCCTATAGTGAAATGATTAAATTTTGTGAATGCAGCATTTAAGGGCGTGTCTGCATTTGGCAGTGAAATTGAATTTTATGGTTAATACCAATGTTAAAGCTAGCGAGTCCATGCATCATTAATGATTTTCCCATGATGATCAGGCAGCATGTTTTATAGATCCTCACTACATGTAAATAGCCATTGGAAGGAAGCTGCTAGTTATGGTCATGAATAGAAAATGGTTGTAACACCAAATAACGTTTGATTGCGTTTGAATTAGGTTATTTGTGATTTTTTGATAAAGTTTTATGTGATTGATGCTGCTTTATTGATTGTTTTCAGGGTCTTTTTGATGATGTGCAAAGGGCACCTGATTTACCATCAAGAGCTCCAAAAGAGTTCAAAGAGATGGTATAAGTTGACATACGATTTTAGGGTTCTTAAGAACTGGATTTAATATACAACAATTTTATCTGTTTCTCTGTCCTTTACATGTACAGGACGAAACAAAGAGTAAGAAGGGGTTGGCTGAGATATATGAGGTTGTTATCTATAATTTGGTGCAGTTGACTGACAGTTTGGAATATTTATTTGTTTTGTATTCTTCCTAACTTTTTGGGGACTGTCTACTGATGGCCATTTTGTAATGTTATGAAGGAAGAGTATGCACAGAAGGCAGGTCTAGCCCCTGCTCCTCTCTCCTCTTCCGATAAGACAAAGGAGGAGGTATGATGCACCATCCTATTTTTACATATTTTAGTGACCTTGTCTCTTGCTATTTGTTAGTATTGAGACTTTTGCTGGTTTTCTTCTTTAGTTACTTTTGCTATCTTACTTTGTCACATATTCCATGGTGGGAATGTTCCATCTGACCATCTCAGATTTGTCTTTTGGCTGGAAGCTTAGTTGCTATTTTTTTTCTAAGATTTAAGATTCTATTAAAACATGAATTGAAAACTAAGTTTGAAGATCTGACTGTTATGTTAAAGATTTAAGCTATTAAATATACTAGTTGGATGAGGACATTTACTTCAGCATTTTTCTCCATTTTAGAGGCATTAGAATCAATGTATGCAATAAAGTATAAACCAATAAATTATAGATGATTATTGGTGTGGCTCCCATCAATCTTGGTCGAGCTTTTGCCCTAGTTTTTCACTTTTGGCTTTTTCCATTGATTGTTCTCTGATCATTCATCTATCTGTCTTAAGTTTGTTTCCATTTGAACTTCTTTTCTCTCATTGAATTGCTTATTGTTTCAAAAGTTTTAAATTATCTTACATATCATTGGAGTTGTTAAGGACTTGAATGACTGAGTTTGGGACGGCTGCAGCTGTCGATAAAGCATGTTGTGAAGTTGTTGTCCAGAAGCTGCTTTCTAAAGTTGCTACATAGAAATCTATAAATTTTTTTTGAGTAGTATAATTGCCAAACTGTTGTGCTGCTGCTGTATGATAACAAATTATCTTGATACCCTTATATCTATGAAGTTGAATAAAATTTGTTCAAATATAATTTTTTTAAATCATTATGTTAATAAACTAACAATTTTGAATTAAAATCGATATCTTTTATCAAATATTTTATAAGTATATATATATTAAAATACTATAAATTTTTATTGATATTGTAGTATCATAATTCAAAATAATTTGTTAAAATTTAGATTCTCTAATATTATTTTATTTTAAAATTTTTTCTCGTAATAATACAAACATGTTTTGGTTGATATTTTTTGAAAAATTATATCAACAAAATGCTTGAAGAGACAATTTTGAGGCATCAAAATTTTTTCATAAATATGTCCAACAGATTAAATTTCTGAAATCTAGTTTACTTTGAGGCTTTAGATTATTTCGATGGAACAAACTGAACTTGTTTGATCATTCCGATTTGGTGTTCAGATGTCTTAATAAATCTTCAATTATAACAAGCTCGGACAAAATTAATAGTGATGTTATATATGATTCAAATGAACAGTAACTATAAAACTTCTATTTATTGTTCATCCTAGCAACAAAAAAAAAAAAAAAACATTAAAAGTTATGCGTAATGGTCAATTGTATTAAAACTCCTGCAGGTTAAATGATTAGTTTCATGGCAATAGGGATGAGAGGGAATGGCAATTGTTTGGTTGGAGGGAACGAAACCTAATCAGGATCAATGTTAGGGGATTTAACTGTAGTTGTATGAAGAAAGAGCTACTAAATGAATCTCTCATGAGAACTCCACATATAAATGCAGAGAAAAAAAATTAACCTACCGATTGAAGAAATTAATTTTCAGTAAAAAAAATTGCGTAGGAAAGAAATTGAAGAGAGAGCTGAGCTTACTAGCCGTGCGGAAATGCTACGGAGGACTTATCTCAGGTAGGAGAGTTGGAGAAAACCGAGCAACTTCTATTCTAGCAGAAATTTGAGGTTTGGCTTACGGGAAGTGGTGAGATGGGCCACGAGGAAGGAAAAAATTTGGAGAAACTGGGTTGATATGACCGAACTTGGCGAAGAGGTATTTTACACATACCTGTAAGGGCATTTATGTCTCTCAGGTTGGAACAGCGGGATTCGGATAGGAAAAGCAACCGCGGGACGCGAAATTTTTTAGGAACGGAGCTTGACCTCGTTGCCCCAAACCACATCTCCGTTGCTTTTTCTGACATACAACAATGAAAACGGTGTCCCAAACGCACCCTGAATTTGTTTAAGAAAGCTGTTTATGGAATGCCTATAGGCTATTTATCAATGTCTTTGTGGGTTAACGATGTCCTTTTTGTTGCTATTACGCAATTTCATTCATCTACAACTTACGTCCCACTAACACATGCATCTAATATCTTTGAATAAATTTTGGTTGTATTTTACATGGTTGTTTGTTATTTTCTTTAATTTTTCTTAATCAAAATTTTGGTTTATTGCTATCTATTTTGAGAAGTGTCTTGTGAAGTTGCTTCCAAAAAAACCATTGAGTTTGTTTTTATGAATCGCCATCATAATTTCTGCTATCTGTGACCCCCACTCAGTTTAATTGTCGGATTTCTTTCCTTCCACTTATACTGCCACTACATTAATTTTCGCCATATGTGCCCCACACTCACTATAATAGTTTCTGTCAACTCATTAATGTTTGGATTATTATTAATTATTTTGTAATCATTATTGACTATTTATCAATCTGTAGATTATTTTGTGATTATTATATTGTGATTTAAATATTTCCTATTAGAAGCTATCCTAGGATTGTAGAACTATCATACAAATGTAGGAATAATCTCTTCTCTTTAATTTTTCTCAATTTTTAGCCTAGGAGATAACAACCCAAAGATTGATGTAGATCAGTTAGTGATGTAGGCAAGGGGGGTGGGGGGATCAATACAAGTTGGGATTTATTTTTGGTGAGCTTTAATATCCTCTACTAAAATTCAGCTCATTAATGTTGAGCTACCACTTTATTCAGCTCATTATTTTAAAACTAAATAGGTTCATTCCCCCTCCCCCTCTATTGGCCCTTGGTTCTTCCCCCCCTTAGCTGCCTTTTCCTTCTCCTTCCCTGTGTCTCTTCGATTTTCTTCATGGTGCTGTTTCCTAGTGGCTAGTTCTCCTTTGCTGGGTGCTAATTCCGGTTTCCTGTGATGCCCCTTCGGTTTCCTCCAGGTGCTGGGCCCGTGGCTGCTTTACCTTCCTTTGCTGGGTGTTGATTTCGGTCCATTGTATGCCTTTTCGGTTTCTTCCCTAGTTGCCTTCCCGTGGCTGTTTTACCCGGTTCTCTGTGCTGCCTTTTCAGAAGCTGTTCTGAAATAAATTCCTGGTTTTTTGTGTCTTTTTAGGTGCTGTTTTGAACTGACTGTTGGCCTTCTATTTCCTTGTTTTTAATTGATTAAAATAAGGTTTTGGTGGTTGTTTGGCTGCCCTCTTTTCTCCTATAAATATAAGATGTTTAGTTAAAGAAAAAAGGATGATATGATGTTATTTTTGGATCCAAAAACCTGAGCAGGTTATCATTTGAGTCTTATTATCAGAGCAGGTTAGCAAATCCTAGGTTTATGAGTCGTGTAATCATTTGAGTCTTGGTATCAAGTGAGTTTAAGTTTTGTTGAGTCTTCTTTTCTTTGTTTAGAAAAAAATGAAAAAAGATAAAAACAGTGATACAGTTGTGGATGAAAATCAGTCCAAAGATCTCGAAGAAATTATTCCAATGTACAGATGGGTTCCAACGGAAGGAAATTCGACAGCTCCCCTTCAGAATGAACTATACAAACTTCAGTCGAAGATGCATGTGTAGGAGAGATATATCATGGTTTAAAATTGCGCAATATGAGGCTTGCCTTGAGGCCCGCCTTTGCGCAATTCAAGTAAAAAATGCATCGATGCTTACGCTTTGAGTTTCTTTTATGAGGCTTGCACCTCAACTTGGTTGAGGCCCGCTTCGCCTCACTGGCATAAGGCTTACGCCTCACGCTATATATATTAAAACTTACATAAATCTTGAAGTAAATGCCCGAAATTGGACTCTATAGGAAGGAGGAAAGGGAGAGAGCAGTTCACCATAATGATTATTCAAATAAAGAACCCCTTAGTCATGACAGTGCTAATGATTTATGAGTTCTTATGTGATATGTCATTGCTATTTATTTTTGGAAATTAGAATTATATGTTAATAAAAAGAATACTGGGATTTGGGAAATAGAATTTTGAGTTGAACTATATTTCATGTTGTCTTATTATTGAGATATTTTGATTTCACTTCATATCTTATGCTTTTTTATGTTTTATATTATTCACTCATTAGTATATAAAAAAATTATCATTTTATATTTACGCAATCTTTTGATTTTGAGGCTTACGCCTCAAAACGCCTTGAGGCTTACGCCTCGCCTCACGATTGAAAAATGCCTCAATACCCGAATACGCAATTTTAAACAATGTGATATATGAAGAAAAATAAATTTTTGCAAGAACAATTCAAGAAAGAACGAGAAGAAATCCTGAAGAAATATGAGGACAAAATTCTAGAACTAGATGCGATGCCTTCAAATCATACTCAAGCTTCATCAGGAGATGAACAATTTCAACTGGAGGAGAATTGATGTAGGCAGGCGGGATTAAAACAAGTTGGGATTTATTTTTGGTGAGCTTTAATATTCTTTACTAAAATTCAGCTCATTAATGTTGAGCTACTACTTTATTCAGCTCATTATTTTTAAATTAAATAGGTTCATTCCTCCTCCCTCTCTATTGGCCCTTGGTTCTTCCCCCATTGGCTGCCTTTTCCTTTCCCCTTCCCTGTGTCTCTTCGATTTTTCTTCATGGTGCTGTTTTCCCGTGGTTGGTTCTCCTTTGCTGGGTGCTGGTTCCTAGTTCCGGTCTCCTATGCTGGGTGCTGGTTCCGGTCTCCTGTGCTGCCCCTTCTGTTTCTTCCTTGGTTGCCTTTTCGTGGCTGCTTTACCCAGTTCTCTGTGCTGCCTTTTCAGTTGATGTTCTGAAATAAATTCCTGATTTTTTTTGTCTTTTTGGGTGCTGTTTCGAACTGACTGTTGGCCTTTCATTTTCTTGTTTTTAATTGATTAAAATAAGGTTTTGGTGGCTATTTGGCTGCCCTCTTTTCTCCTATAAATATAAGGTGTTTGGTTAAAGAAAAAAGGATGATATGATGTTATTTTTGGATCCAAAAACCTGAGGGTTTTTCTTTGGAAAAGCTTGCGAGCTATGTCCCCCACCTCTTTTCCCCTTTATAGCTTGCGAGCTATACTTCGTCACAGCTTCTAATCTCATTCTTCTCTCCGCAAGTATCCACCCCATCAGTACTTTTCTTCTCAATCAAGAAGTGCAACTTTAGGAGCTTTATTTTAGAAGTTTGTAAGCGTCGTTGAAACCCAAAGATGAACTTATAGCAGGCATTGAAAGTGTTTCAGACTTTTAATGACTCTGAGCAGGTGAACACTTTTGTGAAGTCTTCTACCAACCTTTGACAGATCTGCCAAACTTCCTACTAGATTGACTTGCTAATATGAGAAGTACTCTGGTAACTTAATCCAATGCACTTTACCATAGACTAGAGTCTTGGCTATGGCGAGAATCATCCTCGCAGAACTTGTAAATATTTCCTAGAGCTGTTAAAACTGTGTTTGGAAATATATTTATTTGTATTAAGTACTTTTTAATGTATTGCTTACATTTCTTCTGACTTCTCTCTTATACGTTTTAATGATGACGCTGATTACCTTTTTGTAATTACATGTTTTTTAATCCAGGCTAGTTTTTTATTTAAAAGGCTTTGTCTGAAGTTGGATGCATTAGCTCATTTTCACTTTGCACCTAAACCGGTATGCAACTTGTTAAGTTCTCTTTTATTGATATATCGTTTCACAAATCTTTTTACTACATATTACTGGTATGCCTTGATCTACAGGTTATTGAAGAGATGTCAATAAAGGCAAATGTTCCTGCTTTAGCTATGGAAGAGGTATTTTGACTTCTGAACTATCTTTGGACCTTCTAAAATCTGAATGAGTGAAGTGATAAACAAACTTCTTTTGCAGATAGCACCTGTTGCAGTTTCAGATGCAGCTATGCTTGCTCCTGAGGAGGTGTTTCAAGGAAAAGGCGATTTCAAGGAAGAGGCAGAGCTAACACAATCTGATAGGAGGAGGAGAAGAGCTAACAAAAAAAGAAGATTCAAAGGTACATTGTTCGTGAAGAATTTTCACTTTATTATTATTATTTTTTAATTTCTGATTATTTTTTCACATAGCTCTGGTAGTTTTTTGTCTGCCAAACTTGGATTGCTGTCTTGAAATTTCTAGTGATCTTGCTGCTGCTGATTAAGTTTAAAATTCTGTTCTCCTAGGAAAAATAAAATGGAAGGGATGGGACTATATGGTGGAAGTAATATCTTTGTGAAAAAGTTTTAATTCTAGAATCAAAGTTTAAAATTGAAGCAACTACGCTTGGACGTTTAAATTTAATGATGAATAAAGCCCAAACATTTTGGATCACTTTTTTTCCTGTAGCCTTCACACGTTGATCTTTTAAAATTTTTTTATTGTTCTCTTATATATATATATATATAATGAGGACAAAATATTCCTTGTCGATTCATGGTTGATCTGCAGCATAATAATGGGCTTTCATCATTGCATCTTTTGTTAGTCACATTCTCTGGAATCCAAGTGCTTGTTTTCTGCGTTCGGATTTTAATAATCCTTTTATATTAAGTTTATTTTTTTTTTGCTTGCATTATGCTCAACATGAAGATCCCTTGATATTGTATTGTTCCTGTATGAAGCATACCTTGTTGTTGGATAATATATACGTTTGCTTTAGGTAAATTAGATTATTGCTGTCTTTATTGCTTGAAATGCTTATGCGCATGGACTTCTATACAACATTCCGTGATAATGATGAATCTGAAATGATTCTTTTGCGAATTTTGTTGTCTGTTTTGTCATGTTTCCAGAGGCAGTTTGATGGATATATTTGCATTTGTTCTCATCAGAAGTATCACATCAATCATTAATGTTTGTGCACTTATTTACTTTATCAATTAATTGGTTTATTTAACTTGTTATCTCTATACCTGAGTACATGCTGATGATGATAACCTAAAAGGGTTTTATCTTATTGCCCAAGAAACGTTGTATTTTATTTTTTAAGTTACTTTATTTGATTGTTATGATTTCAATTTTGATTTAATTTAGGTTAAGTTTAAAAAAAAATTTAGGAGGTTATGGTATACTACATTATATGTTCATGATCTTTGGAGTATTAGGAGTGATTGCTATTTTGAATTTCTGCTAATTTGTGATTGAGGCGATGGTTTTGGAAATAGTCATTAAATAAAAAAAAAAGCTATTTTTTATTTTGTTTAGGGAGTAACAGTGGGTTGACTTGTGGATTTTGCTTTGTGCGGGATTTTTATCTCTGTTGGGTGGTGTTGATAGTTTGAATCATCTTGGTTTGATTTTGAATGAGGTGGCATTGTTTGAAGAAATTGGTATGGTTGGTGGGTTGTCTTGCTACATATGGGCTGATTTGGAAATTTAAAATTAACCTTGGAAATTAATTTAAATTTTTATTTAGACTAAGTGTATACCATCCTTTTTACTAATATAGGATATGAGGATTATAAATATTTGTTTTGAAGCATGTAATTTGATAACTTTGGCTTAATGAAAATTTATATTTTCAGTTTCAATCATGTGTGCAAGGGAATTGCATTATTCCTTTAGAGTGTTGTACAAGCATGAATGCTTGATTCCGTGAGAAGCCGTCACCTTTTATGTCAACGAGGCTTGATTTCTCTTGATTTGATATTTTCGTTCTTTGTTCTATTTCATCTATATAATTTGATGTTTGCTTGTTTAGTACTCTTGATTTTAAGCAATGGATGATGCTGGAAATCTAATTTGTGAAAATTATTTAATTTTATAGCTATTTTTTTTACCTATTTCTTGTTGAAATTATTTGGTGTTTTTGATCATTTTTTATCAATTATTCTAAAAATCTAGTATTGCCTATTTTTATTAAAGAAATTAAGTCATCGGTTTAATTGATAATTTGTGTTATGCTGGTTTTCAATTTTCCTTTGCACAAAATGATATTGCGCGTTATATTAGTTGCTTTAAAAGCCTAAATCCTTAGCCATCCTGCATCATATTGGTATCAAAGCTTTATGTCATCTTGCCGCTTAGAAGTGGGGTTAATTATTATAGTAATTTAATAGACTGAACAAAATGTAATTACGACCATATTGCAACCTCACTTTAACGAGTTTATGTAGAAGAAAATTAGATCCATGATGTTGTTAAACTGATTAAAATTAGACTAATTTAGAGGCCAATCAAGTTGATGCACATGACCTAAGTATAATCTAATTAAAATGATGAACCAAGTTAGTTGAATCTTAATTATGGAGGCAAATTAATGAACTTGATATACAACTAAATATCTTTAATAATAATACGTAGGGAAATCATAGAAAAAAAAATTGATGTTTATGATGATGTAATTATAAAGGTTTAAATTGAAGTGTCTGCCTATGATGGAAAAAGATGTTGCTAAAGTTTTTACTTTCCCATTATTAGATATATATAATTTCTTTGAATGACAGACTATGTCAGATAAATGAAAAGCTGTGCAAATATACTAAAGGGCTAAGATCAAATTTTATTGGATGAGTATGAATGAGAAACTATTTAAATTCGGCGAACCTATCACAACTCGTGCTTTAATGAAAGAGTTCTTAGAAGAGAAATATTTATCTTTTATTATATTGTGAGTGATTGCTTGATGAATTTAATTCACTAATGTGATCGAGTATTCAAATAAAATTGAGGACTTGTTTTAGAATTCTGAAACAATTGAAAATCTGAGAACTATATTCTACATGTTTATATTTGATTTGAGACCTAACATCATTCGAGAAATGACAACTCACCTTATCCTATTGCTCGAACACACCTTTTTAACCGGGAGTAGGTTTTAAGCAAATGTATAAATTTCTTGTGTCTAAGAAAGTTGCCATATATATTATACTTACATGTATTTTCATCAAAGAAATGAAACTCAATCGGTTAGACCTACACATATTAGGTAGCACTACTGTCAACGAGCACACACTAACCGAAATGGATTTGCATCTTCATCTAGATTTAAAATTTCAAATGCCACGAGACTGGTCATTATGAAAATTAGTGCAGAGTAGGAATTTGCATATAGGTGACAACAACAACAACAACATCAAGCCTTTATCCCACTACATATAGGTGAAGTTAGTGAAATTAATGAATAATGAGTCTATTGATATTTATGAATATGATGAAGATATTAGGGACTTTGAGAATTCATTAATTAATAATTCATTAAATATCATGTGTTATATTATATTTACTTGTAAGGTTGAATCTGATTAGAAGAGGAATACAAATTTAGACTCATTTAAGCACAGGAAAAAAGTTGTTCAAACTTGTGGTTGGTATTGGAAGTTGTATGAATGTCGTATGTTAGTTGGCATTAGATCGTCTGAATTTTATATCTTAATCACATCCACAACCTTGTAAGATAACTTGGATGGATATGGATGCCATTTTTGTATCTAGAAAATGATTAGGGCGGATCAATTAGCTACATATAGGGTTTTAATTTTGTGTGATGTATTGGCCATGGAATGGATTATGTTATTTTATGATGACCTTGGTTATATGATATTAATTTTACTCATTATGAAAGATTTAATACATTTTTGAATCGTACCAATCCTAAAGGGAAAATAGAAACTTTAACATTCTAGTGCTTTTAATCAAGTCAATAAATGTTTGAATTGAACAACTTCATGCCTAAAGTTAAAACCTTGTTTGATGAAGTTAGACACATCTTATAGCTGATTGTAAAGATTAGGGCGGATCAATTCGACTACCATGATTATTTTTTAAAATTGCACAATGTGAGGCTCGCCTTAGAACAAATCTAGTGAAAACTCCTTGAGGCTTACACCTCAACCTTTTTTATTCATCATATTCATATATTTTTTATGAAAACTTTCCTAAATCCTAAACTAAAGCCTCGAACAAATCGAGCCTTTATGCTCCCCAAAGCAGTATCAACTGCCTCAACCTCCAGCTCGCGGCCTCCGCCGGAGCCACCATCGCCAGGGATCACTTGGAAGTTGCACACCACCATTACCTCATCTAAAAATTTTGGAGTATTATTCTTATCTTTATGTTGATGAAAAATATTTATGAAAGAGAAAAATGATTGAAATAAATGATGAAGCAAACTAGGAGGCATTAGATTCCATAAGATGAGATAGGGAATAGACCAATTTGTTATGATGACGACTTAAATAAAGATCCCCTCAGTGATGACAATATATATAATTTTTGAGCTGTCAACTATTTCGATTTTCTTTAGAAATTAAATGTGGATGTGGGGAACTCGGAAAGAAGAAATTTGGAGTTGAACATGATGTTATATGATATTTTTATGAAATTTTTATTTTTTATGTTGTTTTGCTCTTTGATATTTGGATTTCAATTCTATTTCATGTAATTTATCACTTGTCACTTGTGTAATTTTTTGTTTCATACTTATGTCAATTTTGTACTTTATAGTTCAATAGAAAGTTAATATACCATTCTTTAACAAACTATTTGTCTATTGTATAAAAATTTATTTTTAAACTTTATTTTCACTTTATACAATTTTTGAATTTTGAGGCTTACGCTTTTACTCACGAACCAAAAAACGCCTCAATACACAATTGTGCAATTTTTAATCTCGGTCTTGATAATTTTCTTTATAGTAGTTATCTCCATTAAGATGTCATTGTCTTCGTTCGTAAATCCTTCTTAACTTGCCTTATTATAGAATATATCTCTTGGAGCTTGTTGAATTGAAAAGACAAGTTGATTTACTTTGGAAAAGATTTGTTAGCAAAATTATGAGTTTTGTGCTTTATCTATATTATCATTATTTATAGATCTTCTATATCTCATTTGAATAACATGTTAAATATGATAAATGTTGATGTGATATTTTAAAAGGTAGTTTGAGAAGTGGTGGATATCATCAAGTTAAAATGATGGAATGTGATGAATGAAACTTGCCTTTAAGACCAAAAAAGAATTATATGAGTGGTTTGTGATATCGTTTGGCTATAGTAAATGCACCTGGCATATTTATGAGGATAATAAATGAACTTCTATGACTTTTTTATTGGAAAATTTCTTGTTAGGTATTTTGATAGTATTTTAATCAATAACATGATAATAAATGATTTGTTGGTACATTTGATTTGTTTATTTGAGATTTTATATTATATATGGGCATGCTTTCTATGTAGATTTTAATATAGTTAAAGCAGTTAATGATTCACAAAAACATGCTAATTTTTATTGATGTTTTCATGAATTGATTACTTTTTATTGACTTTATTATGGAGATTACTGTTGTTATGTCTCTAATTATAAAATAATTAGAAAATAAAAAATTCAATATGCCTGAATCATTTGATCCTGCTTTTGTTGAAAGAAAAAAAGGAACTAAGCAATGTAACTTTGAGTTTGCTGATTTTAACAAGGTTTTTGGAGTTTCGTGTGATGTCTGGAGTAGGTGCTGGAGGATTATTAAGCTAAGAAGATGCATCCTATCGCTCTTTTTAGTGAAAAAATTAATAAGGCTTAACAGCAATATTCAATTTATGATATAGAATATTATGTTTTAGTACAATTTTTTTGATATTGGGGACACAAGTTATTGTATTACGATTGTGTGTTATATATTTTGATCATCAAAATTTAAAATATCTTTAACTCTACGAATAAATTAGGACATCAACTCGCTGAGTGGGCAGGATTTTGAAAAGTTTGATCATCAAACTTTAAAATATCCAAACTCCTAGAAGAAATAAGGGCATTGGCACAGTAAGTGGATAGAATTTCGAAGTATCCTTTTATCCTTAAATCACTACGCTTTAATTGTAAACAAACCCACCGACGCTTTTTTTGTTCTTCCACATACAATGATTTCCCATTTCGTTAGCAATTCCTGATGTTTATCCATTTTTCTGCTATTTGCTAAAGTTTTTTTTCACTTCTTTTTAGTAATTAATTAATAAGCTGCTGATGTTAATAGCAAATAATTTTTGCAGATCGCAGTAAACCGTCCATAAGCAAAGATGCAAGCGCAAGGCAACAACTGTGATCTCATTCTTCCAAAGGATTTTGAGAAAGTTTCTTCGATTTCTTCAAGTAAAGGCTTTGAACTTGCTTTTCGCTATCATATTGTTAGTGAAGAGGATAAGTAAGAAAGTATCTCAATTTTGTTTTATTTTTATTTATAAAATATTGCTGCATATTTATGCACCATTGGCTGTTATCACAAAGTATTGTGTTTGTTATGATTGAACCTGAACAAACTGAAGTGCATAAAGATTGCTGATAGGAAGCAGAAATTTAATAAAAAGCCTCGGCTAAAATCTGATTTCAGCAATTTAAAAAAACCAACATCAAGAAAATCAAGAATTGAACACACAAGAATACTTTTTATTAAACGTTTTATGAATGAAAATACAAGATACAAGTGGATTTTCAATTGTAGAGGAAGTTCCGGCTCTTCCAAATCTCTAGCTACCGGCTAGAGCCCAAACAACCTTAAGAACAATCTAATTTTAACAAACAACACATAATTCTAATTATAGGAAAAAACCCCTACTTAAAGCATACAATAAATGAAAAAATATCCAAACAGCCCTTCCCCAATTCCCTTCCAAATCTGCCCTATTTCATTAATTATTTCCCTCTTCCTTAATTATTTCCCTCCCAAATTACCCCCCAAATCAGCCTCCAATTTGCCTTCTTCAATTAGGAAATATTTCTTAATTAGTTCCCTCCAAATCAACCCCCCAAGAGCCGGTCCAGGAAATGATTGACAAGACCGGTTTAGGAGGGACCCGACCCGATCTAACAATTACCCCCTCTCAAAGACCCACGTTATCCACAAGGTGCAAGAACACTTCCCTCAATTTTCTCGTCATCACAAACAGTGAGAACCTGAAGAGTTCAGTCCTTAAACCTGTGCCCTGGCGTACACCTCTCCTCACATCTAAAACACAACCCATTTCTTCTCTTCTCTTGTAGCTCCATTTCTGTGAGTTTCTTGAAGTTTTTCCTAGGTCTTCCGCTTACAGTCTTCTCCTTCAAAGTCTCCTTAAGAGTAGCTGGTGTCGACTCCTTGGATGCCAAAAATGTTGTGGTCATCCTGTACGAACCTCCTGTGCTGCTACCTCCGGCCCTCTCTCCAGGTGCCTTTGATCCTCCATTAATTGGGCTAGCTCCATAGCCTCTCCCAAATCACGAGGCCTCATTACTCTAATTGTTGCTTGAATTTCTAGTTTATGCCTTTCATAAAGTTCCCCTCCAATATAGTCTCTGAAAGCCTGTCCAGTCGGCTGGCTAGGTGCTTAAACTGCTCACGGTACTCCACCATTGTTTCCTCCAGCGTTAGAGCAAAGAACCGCTCATAGAAATCCTCTCCCCTATTGGTCCGGAAATGTTCCAGCAAGCAGTCCTTAAACACCCTCTAGGTTTGTATGGGACACCTCATATCCCTCAATTGGTACCATGCCAACGCTTTTCCCTCCAAGCACATCCCGACCGCCTAGAATCTCTCCTCCTTTGTCAATCTATTGACGGTAAAGTATCTTTTACCCTATATATGCATCAATGTGCATCTAGCTTCCTTACCCGTAGATCTTCTTCATCCCCCACGTTTCCTCCATAATTTCCCATTCCCCAAGGAGGTGGTTCCCCCCAGGTGCCCCAATCATCCATTCTACGCTCGTACCCAAATTTTTCTTTAAATTCTCATACTCTCCTTTCAAATTTAGCACCCATTGGATCATAATCAGTCCATCTCCTTTCAAATTCAGTGCCCCTTTCGATCATAATAATCAGCCTCTCTTTTCAAATTCAGCACCGTTTCGATCATAATTAGCTACTCCCCTTTCAAATTCCACCCCTCTTATCTCAGATTTAGCACCCATTCTTTCATGCTTGACCTCCTCACGTCTCTCCCCATACCCTCTACACAACTCCTCAGGAATAGGCTCTAGGAAGACATTCTCTCTTCTCTCTCTAGAATCTTCTTTATCGGATTAGGGTTTTCCCCACTTCCTTGGTTGCCGGTGGCTTCCCTCGCCTCCAACGACACCATCTTGGGTTGGCCCTCAAGAAAAATTTTCAACATCTCCTCCATGATTGCAAATTTTTCATCAATATTCTCGTGAACGGTTGAAATTTGACTTTTAAAATCTGAAAGTTGAGCTTAGATATCTGAAATTTCAGATTTCAATTAATCGATCTCACCTTCCAAATACTAATACCTTTCTTCCTGTCATTGGTACTCTTTTTTTTTTGAAGAAAATGCATTGAATTGCATTGATCACTACCAAAAAGAAATAATAAACTACAAACTAATAACTCTAGATTCCTCCTTTAACAAAGAGATAAAAGGAGGAACTTTTTCCATTCTAATATCTTCCCAAATAAAAGAACTAAAGATAACATAGTTAGCACATAATTTCTCTAACTTATTACATTCCCTATCTATACAATTAAAGATCACATGATTGAAATCTTTGATAAAAGTAAGATCTTCCATTTCTTGGCCACAATTCATAATTGCATTTTGAAGAAACTTAATGATATTAGCATTGTCACCTTCAATGATAATTCCCTTATAATTGAACATTCAATCTTTAATAACTTCCTTGAGAGATTGAATAGCTAAAAGCTCCAGTCTAGATACGTCCCAATGAACATAAGCATGTCCAAAAGCCACTAGAAATCTACCTTTGAAGTCTCGGAAGACAACACCAACTCCAGCTTTATATGATGGTAGTAATTATGCATCAACATTAACTTTGATCCAATCGGGTGGAGGAGGATGCCAATGATTATCCAACAACCTAAGAGATTGATTAGCACCCCATTTACCCAATTTAAAACTGCATTATGTTCAAAAATTGAACCATAGCTCACGACATTAGCAGCTATGAACATTGAGCTTTGTCATTTCCTTCATGAATCAATTTATTTATAGCCTTCCATGAAAAGAAAACATCATTGCAATATAATTTGACTAACAAAGAATTATGTAAATACAACCACTTACAACATTCTTCAAAAGAAACAAATGATGGAATTCCAAAGCCCCATCTATTTAGATGTTGAAAAACTTCTAACAGTTTCTTACATTTGATTGTAACATGTTCAATGTCTTCAATTTCATTGCAGCTTCTAGGATAATCAGATTTCCTTTTCAATCTCCTATATGTCAAGAATTGACATGTAGGGATAGCATTATTGAAAACTCGCCACCAAAATACCTCCACCCGTGGAATAAGTTTCACCTTTTTAAACCATTCCCAGATTTGATCATGATAGCTATCATGAACCAATGCTTCAAAGCTAATGCGAAATAGACTTTCCAGATTTTTGAAAAATTAATTCCATCTTATCCTCACCCAAATTCAGCAAAATTTGAATTTGACAGATAAGTTTTACATGCTCATCTCCAAAAAGCTTCTTGAGTTCGACTACATTCCAGCAACTGTCAGCAATAAATTTGTCCACTGTCAATTCACTGGAATCTTGAGACAAAACAAACGTCGGCCATCTGTCTAAACTTTTATCCTAAACCTAAGTATCTTTGAACACATCAGTAGATTCATCATTAGCAATGCTCCATCTAACTATTGACTTAAGAAATTTTCCTCCATCAGTGATAAGTTTCCAAGCAATTTAACCAGTCTTCAATGATCCATCTTCATACAGAACCATATTTCGGAAATATAACCTTATGAAGTAAGGAATCTTTATCTTGTATATACTTCCAAGCAAGTTTAGCCCTCATAGGCCCAACTTTAGTTAAACAGGAATGAAGAGTACGACCTCCCCATTTCAATGGCCTACACATTACATTCCAATTCACATAATGAAGTTCAAATCTTCCATTCATCTTGCTCCAAATAAAACTTCTACATAACTTATCAATTTTATCAAGAAGACTTTTTGGAATCAAAGAATGAGTTCAGTGGAATGTACTATAAGAAAGCAAAACCGATTTAACAAGAATGATTTTCCCAACTAAAAAAATGAACTTTCCACCCCAAACATTCAGCATCCTCAAGGCCTAATCAACAATGAATTGAAAATTCGCTCAAACTAGCCTCCTCAAAGTTATTTTTAATTCCAAGATAATAAAACTCACTAACTGATTTAAATCCCATAATAAGAAAAATAGTTCTTTTTTTCCTTTTCTTTATAGATTTGCTAAAAAGAATGCAAGATTTTTGAACATTTACATTTTGACTAGTCCAACCACAAAATTCCTTCGAAATACCTTTTATCTCCTTTACTACCTTTATTTTAGCTTCTGAGAAGATAATAATGTCATCTGCATAGAGTAAATGAGAAATCCTTGGCCTATTTGAACACAGTCGAACTCCAATTTAATCACCTTTTTGTCTAAAAGCATTTGATAATAAAAAACTTACCGGATATAAACTTCAACTTTTCATCTTGCAAATTTCCTTTGTTTACATCTCCAAAAGCAAGCCGAGACGATACCAACCCCGAACGAGCCGAAAACAGAGTACCAGCAGTTGAATGCCAACCATCGAAAGGTCTGCCAGCCGATGGAGGCTGACGAACTTCCGCCGCCATCGGAGCACACCTAAAAACGCGCGAAACCGATTTTTGAAAATTACCTTCTATCTCTAGAAAGCTGGACCTTCTCTCTCTAGAAAATTTCCTGTCATAGGTACTCGGATTTAGACACCCCTAGCAAAAATCAACTTTGATATAAATCTGGCCTCCAAACAACAAAAAACATTAAAGATCAGAGAGGAAATGCAGTTGAAATCAGCGAGGAAGACTTCTATTTCAGCCCAGGAAATTGCTTTGATACCGATTTGATAGGAAGTATTTGTAGAAATTTAGAAAAAGCCTTGGTTGAAATCTGATTTCAGCAATTTCAGAAAACCAACAATAAGAAAATCAGAAATGGAACACAAGAATACTTTTTTATTGAAAGTTTTATGAAAAAAATACAAGATAAAAGTGGATCTTCAATTGGAAGGCTAAACTCCAAATACTATAAAAAATAATCTAATGTCAGCAAACAATACATAACCCTTACCCTAGGAAAAACTCCCTACTCAAAGCATACAATATATGACAAATACCCAAACAACCCTCCCTCAACTCCCTCCCAAATTTGCCTTAATTATTATCCTCCCAAATCCGCCCCTAAATCTGTCCTTTTGAATTAGGAAATATTTCCTAATTAGTTCACCTCCAAATCAGCCCTCTCCAAATAGAAAATATTTCTTAATTAATCCCTTTCAAATCAGCCCACAAATTTGTCTTATTTAATTAGGAAATATTTCCAAATTAATTCACTCCAAATCAGCCCCAAAATCTGTCTTATTCAATTAGAAAAATATTTCTTAATTAATCCTCTCCAAAATCAGCCCCCAAGAGCCGGTCCAGGAGGAGCCCAATCTAACAATTGCACTGAAGGATATTAATCAATCAGACTGATTTTTTATGCTTTCAATGCATGTCATCTGAAAAATTATGTCAAAAGTCTAACTTGAAAATCATTCAATATAGTTTGAGATTAGTGCAATGCAAATACTTCATATATATATAATGCAAATTTCAAAATAGGTCCATTGATTATCAATACTGCTTTGTTATAATTTATTTTAGGATCTCTTTATAATTTTCTGGGGATTTACATGCAAACCGCTTAAAATTAGGGGTGCCAATATTTGATACGACACGAAAACCCGACCCGAAAAATCCGGGTTGGACCCGACCCGATTTCAAAACGGGTCGTGGGTTCGGGTTCCCGTATTCGACCCGTTTAAAAAAAATGGGTCGGGTTCGGGTCAACCGGTCGGGTCCGGGTTCGAATTTCCGACCCATGTCGGGTAAGGGTCGACCCGTTTGAACTCGGGTCAGTTCCGGATTCGACCCGAACTTGACCCGAAATTGACACCTCTACTTAAAATTACTTGATTTACATATTTAGCACCTGAACGTTATTATTTATAAAAAATAATGTTATGTTAATGGAACCTCAACAATAAAGATGAAGTTGCGGTGGGTCGCTACTCAAGCTCCCATCGGAGCCGATTGTGGGTGGTACACAATGGTGGGTAGAGTCAACAGTATGTTATATATATATTAACGGACATTGCATTTGCCTTCTTAGCAGCTGGAGGCATGAAATTTAACGAGCAGGGCATCAGAAATCCATAAAACCCGCGTGGTGGCCAACATTCCTTACGCGTTGCTCCATGCCTGACCAGCCTCTACCCAGCTCCATTTGACCTCCCTGTAAGCTTGTGTCGTGAGCAGTTGCAACTTCATCTTTGTCATCAAGGTTCAATTAATGGAGTGCTTTTTTTTCAATAATATTTAAATTGATATGTTCAATATATACATCTAATACTTTGAGTGCTATGTATATAAATTCCCTTTTATTTTTTCTATGTAATCATCTCGAAGATTGCCACAAAGCCTATACATAGTACTTTAGCCCCGCATATCTTAACTATTCAAGCAAATGCAGCTTCTGTCGAGTAAAAGCCATAGAATGATATGTTTTGTCGCTGAATTGGTGCAAAAGAAAAAAAAAATGAAAAAGAGATGGTACAGGTAATGCTATTTTGTGGAGCTCAGATGTGTAAAGTTATTTACTCAGTTTATTTCATTAAATAATCCAATGTAAAGAACTCTTGGGTTTGTGCCATAGTTATCACTCTAGACATAGGCTTCGTTTGGGATGATTTTTTTTTCTGCTTCTTAAAGTATCTTTTTAGTACAAAATTAAAATTTTTTTTATTAAAAAGTTGCTTTAAAAAACAGAAAGAAAGCCGTCCCAAATGAAGCCATAATTTATCGTTCAGATGCACTAAATTTGTACAGCATAAGAGTACTAGCATTCCAAAGCCAAATCCATTTAAATTTCATTGTAAGGTTGTCAGCATAACTGTTCAAGCAAGCAAGCTGCAGTATCATCTTACTAACATTCTGAAAAAGTAAGACCTTTGTTGTTTAGAGATGAAGGCAAGAAAAGGAAATTCCAATAATACGTTCTTTGGTTATGAATCCAAAATCTTTTATTTAAGATTTTAAATCCTGGTTACCTTCAAAAAATAAACAGCCCCTGAATCAGCTCATTGCAAGAACAGCTGCAGCTGATGATTGAAATGGCTTTAAAGTATTAATTAGAAAAAAATTGCTATCCTGTTTGAGCCGTTCATTAGTTTATGTAATATAATTATATTTTTTCTTATTTTCTTGTATATTATTTATTTTTTAATAATTATTTGTTTATTTTTCTATTGTATTAATATTATGTTTAAATATAATGATAATAATAATTATTTTTTTTGGTTTGTTTATTTGACAAAGTTTCTGGAAAATAAATGCAACGTTAGCAACTATGATGTTTAGACATGGAAATGGTGACATAGATATATGATGTGTGAATTATTAAAAATATAGGACATGAATATTGTTTGGACATAATATTATAATATTTATATTTAAAAAATAATATATTGAAATTAAATAAGCAAAATATTAAGCATTATTGAAAAATAATAACTCTTTTAATTATAATTTGTACTTAAAATGATTAATATTAGGATGTCGAGAGTTGAGCTTTGATGTCGTGTTTTAAGCATCTAGAAGGGAGATGATAATATCTTCATGAGTTGGGCATGATTGTGTAATTGGCATAGAGCGTCGATGTTGAGACGACGTCGGGTGTTTATGTTGACATGATATTTGACAAATATGAGATATTGAGACAGCACAGGGGCGTTGATTGTTGGTCTAGAAATTGCTAGTGTCAAACATTGATTTTGTGATTATTTTGAAAAATGGATGGTGACGAAATCAATAATTGATATTGTGATAGCGTTAGACATTATTGTGAAATCCTAGTTATGATTTGCCAAACTTAAATGAAAATAAGAATGTTTAGGAAATGATGCATTGAGTGCGGACTATATTTCCAAACTTAACTCAACATGCCGTCTAGGGGAGCAATTTATTGGAGGCATGATTGGGTGAATACAAAACACGCTCATAATCATCCATAATTATCTCATAATCCTCAATGAACATATAACAATTCCTTACCTTCACAATAGAATTTCCATTCGACCACTTGCAAGTGAACTTTTTTTTATTTTAAAACAAGGAGAATATATGTTATTTATGCAATTTAAATATCTTTGGTTGTTTCTTTCTTTGCATATTTACTATACTTGTTGCGTCGGGTAGAAGTCTAAAGTCTGCCAGCGGCCGGGGAGAACTCTGAAGTTAGATGGTATTCGAAAAAAAATCCAGAGTCACTTGGAGATCGGGCAGAGTTTCGGCATCACTTGGAAGTCAGACATAATTTCGACGTCACTTAGAAGTCGGACGGAATTCTGGCGTCACCTGGAAGTCGAGCAGAATTCTGGCATCACTTGGAAGAAGGATAGAATTTCGGCGTCACTTGAAAGTCGGGCAGAACTCCGACGTCACTTGAATGTCGGGCGGAACTCTGGCGGTGGTCGAGGAGTTTCTTCCCTCCTTCCCTTCTTCTCTTGCTTGGGTCCCCTCTCAAGAGAAATGAGGGCCAATTTATAACTTTTTGAGGATGATATGACCCATAAATAGGAGGAGGATCAAGGGCAAATGTGGAGTTGTTCGGATGGACGGCCGATATTGAATCCCTTGATTATGGACCGTTTGTCAGACATTTAAAGGTCTTAATGATATCGAAATTTGGAGATCTTGGGCTTGTTAGATTTGTCTCGTCGAGTCGCTTGATTCGATTATAAGCATGTTATGTTTGGAAATCGTTTGGTAATCCGAATTGTGATTTGAACCTTCCAATAGCGCTTCAAGTCTTCAATTCAGACTTATTTGGGCTCAGATTGAGTTGAATTTGGTGTCGTTGGGTTTGTATTTCCGATACGCTCAGTTTGACTATAAGTTTCCTGAAATTAGAGTTCATATGATCCCAGCTTTAATTTTTGAAGTTTCCGGCTTGATTTTGCCTTGAGATTCATGTCTGATCAAGATATGTTTTAAAAAATGTGACCCATGAGCTGTGATTTTTTATATTGTATATATTTGCATTTAATTATTCTAAAAATATTTAATAAAAATATATTTAGAAAGGTGTTTGTTGCCTGCTGAGCTGTTGTAGCTCACTATGATTTTGCTTCTATTTTTTAGGATCTAGGAAAGTGAATGAACTTGCTGATTAGTAGTTAAGGATATGATATGAGTTTATATGTATTTCTTTATTTTGATTGTATACAATCATGGTTTATTTCTTGATATTTTGTTATACACACTTTTTTATAGCCATGCGCTAGATGTGTATATGCCATTTTGGTGAAATGAAAAAAGATTTTTTGGATGAATTTATTTTCAATACTATGAATATTGTAGTAGTTCTATAGTATGTTGTTTATTTAAAATGAATATTGAAAAATATTCTGAAACATTCCAAAGCGAGATATTGAGATTTTCTTATCCATAGCTCAACACGATAAGACCTACCCTTTAGGTTCAGTTTTTGACATCAAGAGAGGTAGTAATTTCTCTTATATGGTTATGGTTTTTCTGCCCTTAATCTTCTAAAATAATAATTTAAGGTCTTCTTTCGATTGGGAGAGCCATTTTATTTAGCTCTTTGAACAATCCAAGAAGACCAGACATCATAATAGATGAATATGTGGCCATTCATAGATTGATGAGAAACATGAATAATTTAGGGGGTGTGCTTAAAACATCTAGCAGTTCAATTTCATAGTAGGAGAAGGGGAAGGCTTCCAGCTAGGTATTATTCACATGAGCTCTATCTAGTTTAATATGCTTGAGATTATTTGGTTTGTTGTTAAACAAAGTATAAGAAAGACCCACATAAGTAAAATATTTGATAATAGTGTCAAATATAATGTTATTGAAGTACTGGATCTTCCTATAGGGATAAGGGTTATGACCAGCTTTTTCACTAGTCCTTGCAACAATTAAAATATCCTAAAATAGCACAAAAATTGTTGTTTATTTACAAAATTTTGGTGGTGTCTCAAAGGGAAGTCCTTTCATGCGAGGAATTGGAAGCATAAACCATAGAATTCATAAAGGAGGATCTAAAAGAGAAAATGATCTATCCATGAATAATTTGATTCTCAAAGTAGACAAGGATGAAGAAAATATAGTATACATTCCTTTTCTCCCAAATATAATTTGGTTGAGAAGAGTCAAAGTTGTTAAAGCTTCCTTCATTATAAATATTTTGTGCATATTATAGAACCACACTTTAGACATTTAGGCATTGCTAATATTTGTTTCTAAGATGCAAAAAAAGACAAGTTTATGGGATTGAATCATGTATTTGCAAATGAGGGCTCTATGAATTTCATTGAAGCCTCTCTCCTTCAAAGAGGAAAATGAAACATATTTCATTTGTCTTTATTGGATTTGGTGGCCAATTTCTTGTCCTTGGAAGGGTCATGTGCTTTGTTAACTACTTGTAGGTTTTCTTGAGATATAGGATGCCACCCAAGGAGGTTTCATTGGCCAATTATGTCAATGGAGTTGAGGATAGAGAATTTGTTTGTATTCTGATTAATAGCTAAGGAATTGATTGTATTAGTCAAAGATTCCTCAATAGGCTTATTTAGGTTTATCAAAGATGAGGGTGCAGGTAGTGGATCAAGAGAAATTTTGGAAAGGTTCAGCTCTTCAATATTAGAGGGTGGGTTATCTGCGAGGATAATATAGAGAGTATTGCAAGAAGGACCTAGCTGTATGGTGGTTGGATTATCTGATTTCTTTCTGGGCTTTCTACTATGGCTACAACCATATGGGGGGTGGGGCGAATGGGAGGACGAAGTTGGGTTAGTAGGATAAAGATTAGAGGGGTGGATGAAGGAACCAAAGTGGGGATGAGACGCATGTTTCCAATCACACTAAACCTTTCTTTTTTGCTCTTTTCCACCAACATAGATGGGATGTTTTTTCCAAAATTGATTATTTATAGTCAATTTAAACACATACACGGAAAAATTAATTTGGTTTTCTTTTGCAGGTAAGGCATCTATGGTATAGGTTGGTCTTTATAACTAGCTAGTTTTGAATTACTTGTAGATTCCAAAGGATAAGAGGGAAATCCAAGATTTGATCTATAGTGGAGTGGAAGAAAACACCTCACATTTAGGTCTAAAGTCTGCCAATCATTTTTTTTCAAAAAAAAAAAAATTTTTTTTGAAAAAGAACCATATGTTGCCAAATTAGGCCATTTCAAAATCCATAGAGGAAGTGAATTTTAAAAGGCAAAAGTCATAATTTAGAGATAAAAGATTTAAAGTATCTTTCAACTTCTAGGGGTTTGATAACAATGAGAAGTGCCTCATAAAATGGACATTTGCTAATAGAATAATTGGCAAGATAAAGTTGCCATTCTTTCAAACCTTCATCATCTTTCTCAAAACAAAATTAAATAACATTATTAGCTAGTAGAGGAAATGAAATTTATGGAAAGAAGATTTTT